CTCTCAATGACCATCCCCCACTCCCCATGGTGGAAATCCTGTAAATAAAAATCTGTTTCCCTCAACACTAATTGTTGGGTCATGCATCAAAACAACATGTGCATGAGCCCTGGTTCACTTGGTTACAATTCTAATAGGTTTGAGGCGATATGTCATTGTGGTTTTGATTTGCATTTCCCTGATGACTGGCAATGTTAAGTACCTTTTCGTGTACCTGTTGGTCATTAGTATGTCTTCTTTGGGAAAATATCTATTTAAATATTCTACCCATTGTTAAATTAAATTGTTTAGTTTTTTGCTATTGAGTTGTATGAGTTTTTACAATATATATTCTGGATAGTAACCCCTTATCAGATACATGATTTGCAAATACCCTCTCCAATTCTGTAGGTTACCTTTTCATTTTGTTGGTGGTTTTATTTGATGTTCAGAAGATTTTTAAGTTTGGTGTAGTCTCATTTGTTTATTTTTTTTCTTTTGTTGCCTTTAATTTTGGAGTCAGATCCAAAAAATCATTGCCAAGAATGATGTCAAGGAACTTACCACGTATGTTTTCTTCTAGGAGTTTTATGATTTCAGGTCTTATATTCAAGTCTTTAAGTTGATTTTGAGTTGATTTTTGTGTATTGTGTAAGACATAAGTCCATTTTCATTCTTTTCCATGTGGCTGTCCAGTTATCCCAACATCGTTTATGGAAGCGACTGTCCTTTCCCTCATTGTTCATTCTTGGCTCCTTTGCCACAAATTAAAATAGTTTTAAATCAGGGAGTGTGATACCTTTAGCTGTTTTTCTTTCTCAAGATTTATTTATTTTTTCTATTTGGAGCCTTGTGTGGCTCCACACAATTTGAAAAATATTGTTCTTTATATTTCTGTGAAAAATACCATTGCAATTTTGATACAGATTGCATTGAATGTGTAGATTGCTTTAGATAATTTGGATATTTTAACAAAGTTAATTCTTCTAATCCATAAACACAGAATATCTTTCCATTTTTTATGTTGTCTTCCATTTCTTCCATCACTGTCTTATAATTTTCAGGTACAAGTCTTCCACCTCCTTGGTTAAGTTTATTATTAGGTATTTTATTCTTTCTGATGCAGTTGTCAATTCGATTATATTCTTAATTTCTCTTTCTGATAGTTTTTTATTAGTGTATAAAAACACAACAGATTTTTGTATGTTAACTTTATATCCTGCAACTTTCCTGAATTTGTTTATTAGTCCTAACCATTTTTGGTGGAATCCTTGGGGCTTTTCTATATGTTATATTATATCATCTGTAAATAAGGACAGTTTTATTTCTTTCTTTCCAACTCAGATGCATTTTATTTATTTTTATTGCTTTGTCATTCTGGCTAGGACTTCCTATATGTATTTAATAAAACTAGTGAAAGTAGGCATTCTTGTTGTGTCCCTTGTCTTAGAGAAAGTTCTCAGTTTTTCTCCAATATGTATGATGTTACCCATGGGTTTGTTATATATATGGCCTTTATTACATTGAAGTGTGTTCCTTCCATATTCACTTTGTTGAGAGTTTTTTAAAAAATGGGTGATACATTTTGTTAAATGATTTTCTACATCTGTTGAGATAATCATATGATTTTATTCTTCATTTTGTTAATGTGTATCACCTTGATTGACTTGTGGATGTTGAATCAAACTTGCATCCTTGGCATAAATCCTACTTGATTATGGTGTATGATCTTTTAATGTATTGTTGAATTTGGTTTAATAATATTTTGTTGAGGATTTTTGCACCTATGCCCATCAAGGTTATTGGCCTATAATTTTCTTTTCTTGTGGCATTCTTATCTGGTTTTGGTGTCAGAGTTTGAGGAATGTCTTATTCGTCTTTGTAACCCCAATGCCTGGCACAGAATAGGAAACTAGTGAAGATTTTAAGGCGACAAGTTCAATTTTGGACAAGCAGAAGTTTGCTAGTTCAAGATATTGGAAGAAAGATGGGAATTTTAGGCAGAGGAAATAGCCCATACAAAGGTACAGAGACATGAAAGAGCAAAATCAGTATGGGAAAGTGTAGGTAATGCAGGAAGGCCAGAAGGAAGCAAGCATGCCTGTGATGTGCCCAATGTGGTATCAGAAAATTAACAGAGTTGGGATTAGGAAGGGCCTTATATGCTTAGCAAAAAATTTCAGCTGTATTTGAAAATATTGAGGAAGGATTTTAAACTGTGAAGTACATGATGAGATCTGTGTTTTTAGTCAGATTTGTCTAACAGCTAGGTAAATGGTGGATTAGAGGGGCCCAGAGTAAAAGCAGAGAGACCAGGAGGAAGTCATTTTAATAAGTAAAAAGGATTTGAAGGCAGTGGCATTTGAATGAAGAAGGTCCAGGCTCATAGGCTTCTTAAGACTGAAGATCTGTAGGATGTGGTTACTGACTACCAATGGGCCCAAAGGAATGGAACATGCTTTTAACTGGAATTCCCCTTCAGCCACCTACCAACCCATCTTCACTCAATTTGCTTCATATTCTTAACACTGACCTCCCATTAATGGATGATAAATAATAAACAATAGGACTCATCACATCTATTTCTCATTTAAAGGAAAATAAAATCTAAATGCTAAAGCTGGATGAGGCTTGGTGATCACCTAGACCAACTCTTGATTTGATAAATGAACGCTGAAAAAAAAAAGACTCTTCTATGGTAATTATGAAAATCAGTGACTGGGTACAGGGTCACCCTTGATTGAATCACCTGTTTAATTCTCCACATAGTACTTGTCTCTAATATTTTCTTGTGTATTTGTGTATTTTCTGCCTACCCTGGTATTAGAATATAATATTAAAGAGTAGAGTCCTGCCCTAACCTGTGGCTCAGCTGGTTGGTTGTCGTCCTTCACACCAAAGGTCCCTGGCTTGATTCATGGTGGGGCATGTGCCTGGGTTGCAGGTTTGGTCCCTGGTTGGGGAGCATATGAGAGAAAACTGATTGATGTTTCTCTCTAACTTGGATGTTTCTCTCCCTTTCTTTCTCCCTCCCTTCCCCTCTCTCTAAAAATAAATAAATAACAAATAAAGTGGAGTTCTTGACTGTCTAAAACAATCTTTTATCCATGTAGTAAACACTTAATGAATATTTGTTTAAAAATAGAATGAGCCAAGTATAATTAAGTTTGCCTCCTCTAAAACCAATGACTTTTATACAGGACCTTGGCTTGGAGGCAATCAATTCATAATTCTATTTCCTGCCAGAATTTTTTCTAATCACCCATACAGAGACTAAAATTTACTGAGCAATAACATTGTAGTGCATGTGGCTTCAGATGGTAAAGAGCTAAAAATAATCATCATTATATTCCTTTTAAAATATGAACCACTGACCACCTCATATTTATTAGGATAGTTACTATTAAAAAAAAAACTAGCAAAACAAAACAAGTGTTGCAAGGATGTAAAACCATTGGAACCAATGTTCTAGTTAGGAATGTAAAATGGTGCTGTTACCATGGAAAACACTATGATGGTTTTTCAAAAAATTAACAGTGGTCCATTCATTTACTGATGGGCACCTAGGTTGCTTCCAACACTTGGCTATGGTACATTTACACAATGGAATTCTATGCAGCAGAAAGAAAGAAGGAGCTCCTACCCTTTGTGACAGCATGGATGCAACTGGAAAGCATTATGCTAAGTGAAATAAGCCAGGCAGTGAAGGACAAATACCATATGATCTCACCTTTGACAGGAACCTAAACAACAAAACAAAGAAACAAGCAAAATATAACCAAAGACACTGAAATAAATAACAGACTGACAGAGTTCAGAGGGGAGGGGAGAGGGAATATCAGGGGAATTTCAGGGGAAAAGGGGAAGGGTTTACAGGAATGAGTATAAGGACACATGGATAAAAACTAGGGGTGGGTGGAAATGGGAGGGAGGAGGAGAGGGTTGGATGGGTGGGTTGGGATGGGAGTAAAAGATAGAAAATTGTACTGCAACAACAATTTAAATAAAATTTTAAAAAAGATATAGAAAAAAATTAACAATGGAATAATCCAGCAATTGCACTTGTCAGTATACACCCAAAAGAATTGAAAGCAGGGTTTCAAAGAGATGTTCTGTGCATCCATGTTCACAGCTGTGTTATCCACAACTGAAGGTGGAAGCAACCCAAGCATTCATCAATGTATGAATGGATAAACAAAAGGTAGTATACACATGCTGTGAATGTTATTCAACCTTGAAAAAGAAGGAAATGTTGCAATACACTCTAACATGGATGTACCTGAAGGACAATATGCTAAGTAAAATAAGTTGGTCACAAAAGACAAGCACATATGATTCCATTTACATGAAGCATTTGGAGTAGTTAAGTTTACAGACAGAAAGTAGAATGGTTGTTGCCAGGGGCTGGGGGAGGGGGAACAGGGAGTTGTTACTTAGAGCTCCAGCTTTGCAAGGTGAAGAGAGTTCTGGACATTCACAGCCATGAAATTCATTTAACACTACTGAATAGATTAAGGTAGTACATTTTAAGCTATGTGTATTTTGTCACATTTTTAAAAATATTAACCACTGAACTATGTATACCTACTATCTCATTTGGACCTTGCAATAACCCTCAACTATCAGTAGAACAGTCCCATTTCATAGTGAGGAAAATAAGGTTTAGAGGAGAGAAGTAAATTGTCCAAGACACACAACTAGAAAATAGAAAAACTGAGCTTCATATGCAAATCTCCTGGTTCCATGCCCAGTGCTGGTGTCTACCACATAGCGACACTTACTTCATGTTTCTTGTTCAATTTCTCTCCCTTCCTAAATCTTCAGACAGCAGGTGTGAGTCAACTATAAGTACAATGAGAAAAGGTCACTCAACATTCACTCGCTGGCAAAATTAGAAGTCATTGGCATGGAGGTTGTGTACATGCAATTAGGAACTTTTGTAACATGGAATATCGGGGTTCCCCTAAACAGGGAAAAAAACCCACTTACATGGCTGGGGGAATGAAAGTGGAGGACAGACATTGAGAGTTACTTTGCATATCTAAAGAAATTGGCCAGTTTTAGTAGTGTTAAATAGGCCACACTAGGAGCCAGGGAGATGGGTGTGACTCTAATTCTGGATATAGCTGGAGGGACTTGCTGCACCTGCTAGAGTGGCTTGGAGGCAGCTCCTATACCACAGGGCCATGCCTGCCTGCAATACCAATGGCAGCCAAGAAGGGCTGGAGATATGGGGAAGGGCAGCTGTAATGCAGTGTGGAAGGAGTTGGAAATGGGGTTATACAGGAAGACCTGTGCCAAGATCTAAACCTAACTGTGGGGCAAGCATTGCTCTCTTGACCATGTGGCTTGGGAGAGGTGAAGGCTATCTTGGCCACATAGTTTGAAAGGATGCAAAAGGACTCCCACCAGCCCACCATGAGGAGGAGCCATGCAGGTTTGAATTAAGGGCAGGAGCCTGGCTGAGCACAGACAACAAGCTGGAATGCAGATGGAATGCAGCCCCACTAAGCTACAGACTTCTGTATCTTTTCCTGAGACGTGGTACCTCTGACTGGCCTGGTTTGGCAAAAGGAGGCAGGACTGTGTGCTGGTGGGTGTTTTTTGTTTCTAATGGATGTGGGATTTGATGGTAGAATTCCACCTTTATTCTAAACGTGTATAACTTTTGAATAAAAAGTTCCTTTCCTTTTCATACGACTCTGGCATTGGGATTCATGGTTTTTATTGATGCCAGGCCATAGAACCCCGAGGAATAGAACCCGGGGTGGTTCTGTTTCACTTTAAGATGATCAGGAGAAGATGGGGGTTCTTTCTTTTGAAATGGCTCCATTGACTCTCCTCCCACATGTCCTCCTATGAAGACAAAAGATGATAAAATGAACTTACAAAAATAAACTAGATCTAGTGAGCAGTGGGAAGTGCACTGAGCAGGAGTCAAGCCTAACCCTACCTACTGGGACCACCCATACACCGTGCAGTCCCGGGCAAGCCTCTCCCTCCACACCGACAGTTGGCCTACAGTTACTGCCACCGTTTTCGTGTACTAAATTTGAACTGAGTTTAGAAGGAAGGACACAGGCTTCCAAGGGGAGTCAAAAATACAAGAGGATCATCTAGCCTCTGACAAATGTCTTTTATTTATTATGTGAAGTGATGGATACTCTACAAAGGCAGCCTTCATCCCTCTACCACTTGGCAATTTATTTTTAAAATGAGACTCCCCTGCAAATACCAAATTTTCCAAAGTATTTGCCTTGATGATTAAAGAGCAATGTTAGAATTGGAACACAGACTTGCCTGGTTCCAAAGTTTGCTCTTTTCTCCAGTTGAACAGTATTAATTTCCACAGCCAAGTTAGAAAGAGCTATGCAAGAACCAAGGAGACAGAGGAGTTAGTTCCACCTGTCATCCAGAGGAATGAAGAAGGTGAACGTTGAAGCTGTAAGAAAAAGCAGTTGAAGTAGGCGGGGAATGCATTTCGTGAAGCAAGAACACACAAGCCAAGTCAGGGTGGTGGAGAGTACAAAGTCTCAAAAAGCTTGTAAATAATCCTGTTCAGTTTAAGGGTCATCGTTGAGCTATGGCTGGAGATCATAATTCCACTGCATTGTGAAAAACCTCAAATGCCATGCTATGGGGTTTAGAACTTGTTTGTATAGGCAGGAGGAAGCCATCAAAAAAGTTTGTATCAAAAGATTTATCAGCAGTTGTTAATACTATCTCCTTTATAAATGTTTTTGTATGTTGTGAAGAAATGACATATATTGGAAGGTTTTCAGAAAGAATACAATTATTTCCATTCCACCTCTTATAGGCAGTAGCACTGCTGGCTGACCTTGCACAGTAAGCAATGGCATTGCACTGGCACCGAGAGCCCCTTAGCAGGCACAGTGAAGTTAGCTAATCATGCTGCTTTTTCTGAAAATAATAAGACTTTCTATTTTCCTTCATGCTTTAGGAAAGATTAAGAAACTTCAAAGAACTCCAAGCTAAATTTCAAAAGCTTGACATGCCATCTCTTCCAGGACCTATTCAATTCCCAGCAAGTGTTTCTCATAAGGGGGACTTTGGAAGCACACAGTCAATAAGGACCTGGGCCAGTGGGAAACTGCCCTCATCTGACCACAATCAGCCCCCACCATATTGTTCTGGTGGTGAACCCCAGCCTCTTAAAGCCCAGAAAATGAAGCTGGCACAGAGGAGTGAGATTCAGAAATGTTTTGATTCCCCAGGACCTCCAGGAAGGTTTGCTTATTCTGCAGTGAATTCACAGAAGGCTTCTCTGCTTTTAGATGTGAATCAAGCAAACGCTAAGATAACCAATGAGAAGAAATTGGTGGTGACCAGTAGCTTCAGAAACAAGCTCTGGAACTGGGAGAAGGTCTCATCTCAGAACAGTGAAATGTCATCAGCCTTTCGCCTTGCCAATTGTGGAGATAGGGCTTTCCATCCAGAAGATCAGAAAACCACAGGGCTTACTACTCTAGAGGAGCCCAGGAAAAAACTGCAAATAAAAGGATCCCAGACTCTTCCTTCCCAGAGGTACCTGATGGCCCAAAGAAAATCATGTGCAAAGAAAATCACCTCAGAAGATCCCACTTTTCTACTTTCTCCACATGGAAGGAAGAGCCTAGAAAAGTCCCATCCTGAGAGGGGCCCAGCAGGGAGCACCTCCCAGCCTATCTATGAGAGGGAGCTTGCCAGCTGGCCCCCAGGTAGGAAATCTAATCCGCACAGATGAGGGGGGAGAGCTCATTGTGCTTTTCTAAGTTAAATCTTGCTGACTTGAGAAGGTCACATATGTGACCTCAGCAATGTGAGGGCATGACTCCATCCCTAGCCCCTAGAGTCATACCTGGAACACAGTGGATAAATGGTTATTGATGAAAGATAGGGAGGAAGAGGAAATGAGTGAGAGGAAGGGTAAGTGGGAGGAAAGAAGGAAGGGTGGATTGGTTACCTACCCAGGGGAATTATTAAGAGGATTAAATGAGACAACCCATGACAACAACCGAGCACAGTGCCTGGTAAAAATTAGGGGCCCAATAAGTGAGTGATCATTTGTTTTCACTGTGTCTTCTCCTTAATTTGATAAAGACAAGTTACTGACATTGGAACTTAAAATTACAGTCTAAGAAGAGAGGTGCTTTGGTCCTGCTGGGAGGGCAAGAAGGAAGCCCCCCTTCCCGCTTGCACAGGACAGCAGGACTTTGAGAAGGTCACTGGCATGTTTGAGAACCACAGGCCAGCTCCTTTAGTTTCCCATGTAATCGACCACTGCATCATGTAAGCCAAAATCAAAGTACTTGGGTACTATAAGATTTTGTGCTATTTTCAGAAGCAGTAGATACAATTTTTGTATATAATATTGGAATTTGTCTTTTTAGTGCAGAAGGATAAAATATAAAAAATTGGGACTAACCTGCAAAATTCCAGGACACAAAATCCACAGGTGCCTGTGACCCAAAGTCAGCCTTGAAGGCTGTCCTAGGCTTTGAGTCCTGGAAATCAGAGGTTAATTCTCTTCATAGCACACATGTTATTTGCCTGTCATAAGTGCCTGAAGAATTCTTTCAGGGAATAGATATTGTCTGTTTCCTGTGAATCAGGCCCTGTGCTTAGTCCTGGGAAAAGGTTGATATGGCCTAGTCCCAGTCCACAGGAGCCTACATTCAGTGGGAAGTTAGACCAGCCCCTCTAACATGCCACAGCACCGCTGGAGAGGTGTTAGTAATGTGCATTGGGGATACCAGTTAGAGTTATGCATTCTGACCTTAATTTCTGATAGAAATCAAGAAAGGCTTCCTAGAGGAGGTGTCATTGGAGCAGGGCCTAAGGAAAGAGTTGAAATTTGGCAAGAGAGAATAACAGAACAGCATTCTAGAACCAGGAATGGCATGAACAAAATCTTGGACGTAGGAGAGCTTTTTAAGGCTTTAAAAATCAAATCCAGAGAACTGAGAAGCCCGTGGTATAAGTGAAAGACATTTGGTCTGCAGGTCAGGGAAGTAGGAGACTGAAGTCCGATAGGAAAATAATCTGGAAATGTCGACTGGGGCCATGTGGTATGCTGTTCAAATGCCAAAGAAGGGAGAGAACAGATGTCATGCTGAAGAAATCAGGCTTCGTCTTCTGGGTGGCAGGATGGTGACTAGATCAGATTTGCATTTTGACCTGGACCTGCTGGCCACTGGGTGGAGAGCAGATAGGAGGGGAGGAGTGAGAGAGTGAGACAAGGAAACTGGTCGGTTTCACCCAACAAGTCACGTGATGGAAATGATTAATAACCTACATTTTGGACTATTTGTATTCAGAGAAACAGCCGGATGTCAAGCATCACCAGCTTCCCAAAACAAAGCCACTGCCTTCCGTGGAGTCCCTGGGTCCTCCTCCCACGAAGCCACCGAAGCCTCCAGCCATGAACCTCCAGGCCTTCCAGAGGCAGATGGCTGCCTTTCCCAAGACCAGCAGGGAAGGTGAGGAAATGCACTGTCCCCCTCCCCTCACCCCCTCAGCCAGCCAGGGGGGAGTCTCAGCTGACTCTGGTACACTCTCTCCCAGTCACCTCCCTCTCCGCATGAGCTCCCAGGTGACAATGCTGAACTGCTTTTCCACGGGGCTGGACATCCATCACTGCTTATTCTCATGTAGAGGCCATGGCAGCTTGCCCGTGAAATGACAAATCTGCGGGAATTGGCCCCTTATCGCTCCCGAGCCAGCCTGCTTCCCCTGAGAGCATTGCATTTGATCACTGGGAATCCGTCCAAGAGGAAGAAAACGAAAAGGAGCAGGGCAGGGAGGCAGAGAGCCTTTGTGTTTCTTATAAAGCCTGTGTTGTCAACACAACCGGTGCTGTGGAGGAGGGGGAAGGAGTGCCAAGGGAGGCAGGGAGGCAATCAGTTTGAACTTGACCTGCAGTCATGACAGGGTCCCTCAGGCCTTTGTGATCTGCCTTCAGTAATTCTTGAAGGGTTCCCATCCCTGCCCCCACTGGCCCTTTCCGGGACTGGAAGCACCCTTGGGAGCCATTTCTCTGTGCTGTTACATGTCTTCCTCTGCTACACAAAGGAGTACTTACTCACGCCCTCTGCACCCCCCGCTGCAGTCTTATCCTGTTGACATGTTAAACACCTTTGCTTCTGTTTGCTCTAATGAAACATGAGGTAAACATACACTTTGGGGTTGCACAGATTGCTGGGCTAACATATGGTTCACTGTGACTGTGAGGGCCGGCAGGGGGTCCACTAAGAGAGCTACCTCAAGTTCATTACTCATCTGACAGCCTTGGGCAGCCTCATGGTTACATTTCTTGAACTCAGAGGTTCTCACACTTCAGCATGCATCAGAATCACCTAGAAGACCTGCTAAAACACATTGCTGGGCCCCAGCCCCAGAGTTTCTGATTCATTAAGTCTGGGTTAGAGGCCTGAGCATCTGCCTTTTTAACAGGCCGTCTGGGGCTGTCGATGTCGCTGGCCCAGGGACCACGCCTCAAGAAAAACTGCTCTACATCATCTGACAGAATAAGATTCTCTTAGGGTTATACTTTAAGGCTGTGGCCACCTCCATATCAGAGAAGGCTAAGCATGATTTTTATAAACATTGAATAATTTAGGCCTCAAAACCTCTCTCTGAAATGGAAGAAGGCTGTCAGAGAACATAGGACAAAGTCCTATGAGGCTTTTGTTTCAAAATGGGCTTTGTAAATCCCCACTTCCCCACTCACTAGCTTTTTAAGTTCCTGCATGTTACTAACTGAGCCTCATTGTCCTTGCCTATAAATGGGGATGATAGTAACACTCATCTCCTAGGGTTATTGAGAGGATAAATGAATGAGATGAGGCATGGAAAGACTTGAGAGTTATTGGCACATGAGTAAGTGCTCAATAAATGCAGTATTATTATTTTAGTCATGCATTGAGTAGCTATACTCTCTTTGCCAAGCCCTGAGATATACAGAAGAGACTAAGAGAGAAACCCAGAAGACATTCTGGTACTCCAAGAGGTCAAGGTCTAATATAAGAGACTGTACTCCTAATTAGGCCCCATAAAGTGTGGGTAAGGGCTGCAGGGCAGGAGGGATGATCCCCTGCATGATGGGGGAAGGGGAGGCTTGGAGCACAGGTGAGTTGCAGATCCACATTCTGTCTCCAGGGTCAGGTCACTGCACAAACATAACTTGCTTTAATAAGGCTGCCCCTAATGTCTGTTTTTCACTTTTCCTTTTGCTTTTGCAGCAGCTGTGGAAGAGGGCTACCTGCCTCTAGAGAGGTGAGTACCTGTTTCTTAATTGTGTAAGATGGTAGCCTGCCAACAAGGCTGCTGAGCCTGCCCAAGAGCGGGCAGCAAGCACAGACCAGGGGTTGGTATTTCTCCAAAGGGTTGTGGGAAGAGCAGGTTTATAAGCTACAAATTGCAACTCTTATTTTATATGAGAGGTTAAATAAACCGCATTCAACAACATGCTGATGTTAAGTTGCAAAGATGGTCCTCTGAGGTACTTTTATTTATCGTACAGTTGGGTTCAGTAAATTGAAACATGCGCTTCCATAGTAATAAATTGAATTAGAGGCTGAATATTGAATATTAAACAGAATACCGCATGTTGGCATGTTACAGAGGACCTCCTGTTTTTGGTGCACACATTCTAAGAATTTTATCGCAGAAACGCCAGCTCATTAATGCACTCAGCCCAGGACTGTCGAGCCCGCTGATGTGTGCTGTGCATTGAACTGGCCATTTGATACAGATGTTCTCATTTCATCTTCTCAAGAAGGCAGTGAAGTTGTTGCCACTGTCTCCATTTTATAGCTAAAGACACCAGGGCTCAGAACGTCTGTCACTGGCAGAGCTGTGATGTTGACACAGGTTTGCCCCAACTTTTTTATTGTGATATAACCAACATGTAACACTGTGTAAGTTTGAGGTGCACACCCTGTCAAATTGATACATTCATATTTTACAACATGATTAGGACAGCAGCCTTAGCTAACACCTTCATCACCTCATATAATTCTCTCTTTTTTATGTATTGAAAGCAGTTAAGATCTAGTTTCTTAGCAACTTTGAAGTTTATAAGTATTTGTTTTTGCTCTAGTCACTATGTTGTGCATTAGCCCTCCGGACTTATTATGTACTAGCTGCAGACTGACTGGGGCTGCTCCTCTGTCTGGGGTCAGCTTGCCTCTGGCTGAGCTGGGATTGCTGTGGCTGGGATGACTGGTGCAATCCGACTTGGCACTGTCCATCTCACCCTCCAGCCAGGTAACTGAGGAATGTTCTCCTAGCAGTGGCAGCAGACAAGCCCAACTGCACAACATTTTCCAAGCTTCTGCTGTATCTCATTTGCTAGCATCCTGTTGGTCAAAGCAAGTCACATGACCAACCCAGAGTCACAGTGGGATCCCAGGCACTGAAACCTTACATAATGAAATGCAGGGTTCTAGGAAGGGGTGAAGAATAGTAGCATCAATCCAATCAAACTAGCATTGAAGAGCAAATATTTGACGTGAGTATTGAGAGTCAACATTGGCTGGATAACATGGGAAGAGGCCCACAGGTAGAGGAAGGAAGGATAAAGTGATACATCTTATGTTGGAAACTGGAAATACAATAGTTAAGTAGAGTTAGAGTAGAGAAAGTGTTGTAAGGATTGGAAAGAAATGGGATTGTCGAGGTAGACAGGAACCAAATCATGGGGGATCTTGTACACCAAGGAATAGGTGAGACAACTGTATTCAGCAAGGAGCTGATTGTGCAATTCATGTGCTCCAGGAACGCCTAGGTTAGTGGCTCCAGTTACAGGACAGCAAAAGGTAGGTCAGTAGAAATGCATTCTCTGTGCATGCATTTGGACAAAGGAAAACAACGGTTTGCATTATTTACTGGAGGAGCACCATCCCCAGTGTGACGATGTGAAGGGACAATGGCATTCTGAAGAACCCTGAACCCTGAGTCAGCTGTAGTTCCCTCGCGTCTCGCATACTGTGAGCGTCCCAGTATGACTGAGCACACCCTCATCAAAGTGTTTGGCTAGACCTGCATCTTTGCTGCAGCTTGGCTCTAAACTGAGCTGACTTCTCTCACACTTTCATCAGAGAAACAGCAATCCTTTTCGGCCCTGGGCACAGACTTGCTGTGATGGGCAAGTACAGGGAAACAGCAGTCAGTCTCTAATGTGGCACCTTGTACCTAAGGGATTTACACGGGCAATTTGACCGTACTGTTCTTTCATATTGATGGTAGAACTGAATCTACTCTCATCTGAAGTGAGATTCGTTGTACCTCAGTTGTGAGTGTGAAAGACAGAAGGGAGGAAGAGGGACCAGGAATCTGAGGGGCAGCTTCATGGAAGAAGAAAGAACTTGAGATGTGTCCTGCTTGGTGGGTTGGAATTAGATAGGTGTTTTATTCCCTTATGTGAGATTGTAAGATGGGTTAACCACATTGTTGACTTACAGTTGGTTAGTGAATGGAATGATGGAGAGAGAAATGGATAAAGGAATGGGTGGGTGGGTGGATAGATGGATGGATGGATGGACAGACAAATGGATGAACCAATGCCTATTTAGTATAGGCAGAGCTAGAACATAACTGAAAGCAAGGCAGTAATAACAAAGAGGAGGATGTGAACAGACAAATATATTTGGGCCCTGGGTGGTGTGGTTCAGTGGATTGAGCTCTGGCCTGTGAAGCAAAGGGTTGCCGGTTTGGTTCCCAGTAAGGGCACTTGCTTGAGTTGCAGGCCACCTCCCCAGTAGGGGGCGCACAAGAGGCAACCACACACTGATGTTTCTCTCTCTCTTTCTCCTTCCCCTCCCCTCTGTTTAAAAATAAATAAATAAAATCTTTAAAAAATATTCTAATAGGTGAAAATAAGAGGTGAGGTTGAATCTTAATGTGCCATAAGTGCCATACTAAGGACTTTGAACTTCATTTTATCAATAATAAGGAATTAGTCTGAACCCCATAAATGTCTGTGACCCTGCATGTTCTCCTCTAGCTTCAGGTACCATAAGGCTGCTGGTCTCTTGCGGGCACCTACAGACTTTGGCCCCACCCTTAATCATCTTTGTGAAAGGGGTGAGGGACAGAGTAGAGGTAAGGGTGTTGTTCCTTCTTGCCAGATTTCTGGACCCTCATCTATTCCCTTATCTCAGCCCAGGTGACAACATATTTTGGCCACCCATGACCCCCCTGCTTTGGGCAATGAACAGGAATCAGATACTTGACTCCTGATTTGGGGGATCATCTCTCCCTCCACCCTGCATCACTGGCAAATGTTCACTGCTCTTGAACTAAGGAAGTAACATTGACATAACTGATAAATGAGCAATTGTAAAATCAGCTTATTTAACCCCGTGATTCTAGTGCTTTTAAATGTGTGTGAATCATCTATGAATTTCTACCTTTCCATGGATAATGTTTTCTTTAGACTTTCTATCTCTCCTGGAGATTGGAGGAAAGGCTGATATTCATGAAGTGTATTTTGCTAGAAATCTTCCATATCATCTAGCTTTCCAAATTCATTGGTGATTAGTTTTGTAAAAAATGTCCAGTGGTTTCTATGTAAGTTCTATAGTCCAAAATAAATTATTGTCATGTTCTTTCTTGAAAAAAGGAGAAAGAAATTAGTTTGAACATGTAAATTCCATGATGCTGAGCAACCTTAGATACACCTTCCATGGAAATTGGAGCTTGTTTGGGAAGAACCCGTGTTCATGGAATTAATCTTTGGTACAGATACTGTGTTAGGAAATGAGTAAGCAGGACCTCACTGCTGGAAGGGGACCCAGCAATTATCTGATGTTGCCAGGGCATATGGAGTAATGTTAACAAAAACCTGGATTTTTAATTCATGCCTTACTATTTACCAGCTATGTTACCTTGGACAAATGCCTTAACCTCTACAAACCTCAGTTTCTACTTATGTAAAATGGGGTAGTGGTAGTTCTTAACTCACACAACTATGGTGAGGATTAAATGAAATCACGAGAGTGAAGGGTTTAGCGCAGTGCCTAGCATTTGGAGTGTTCAGTAAAGCTTCCTTAGCATTTGTATAACCTTCTACCAAAGGCAAGGATTCATGCTCAAAACCTTAGTCTCTTTAAAAATTCTTTGATGGGGAGCTCATTACCTGGAGAGTCCAGCATTTTTCTCTGTCGGGGCAGGTTTTATTTTTTTTAACACACATTTATTGAACATCTACTATATGCCAAATCCTCTTATATATTGTACATTGAGAATACAGCAGTGTATAAAGTAGATAAAAAAATCTTACACATACTCACACACACACATGTGCACACACTGTCATTTGTTTATTCAGAAATCCCAGTGAGCTGGGAAGAAGAAAAAACCTTCCTACCCCAGATTCACAACCACCTGGCCCAGATCTGCTCAATGGTACAGTGGACACTATCTTTATCCCTTCTTTACATGACAGTTCTTTAAAAAAATCTAAGGGTTACATTCTTCTTTGAACTAAAAAACATTTTTCAACCACCACTTATAAAACAAGAGTCTTTGCGTTTTAGCTGTATTTCAATGGAATGAACACACACACACACACACACACACACACACACATACATATTTAATCATCTTGTTAGGAACTCAGTGCATTTGCAGTGACCATTTTTGTTCCTGAACTTCAGGTCTGGAGTCAGGTTCAGACCTGTCCTCAGAACTTTAACATACACATCTGCAGAGTGGACACAATAATATTTAATTTATTGAAAACTAATTGAGATGAATTGTACAAATCACAGTGAACACAGAAGACGCTCCCTGAGTCTTTGTTTCTTCAACCCTTGCCCCCTCCATCTCTGCTGGCTCTGGCATATTAATATCTCATTAGTTCACAACAGTGAAATGACTCCTTGGAGGTTATTCTTCGCCATCACTTTCTCACATGAACCAAGCTGGCTGGCATCCCTCTTGATGTGCAGCCCCTATTTGTGTGAGCAAAGCAGGTTAGTCCCAGGGCAGCCTTCAGCACTGGGCCTCCATCAGTACTTAGCAGAGATGGCCAATATTTTATTCATTAGCTATAGATATGGCTTTTCTCCCATTAGGAAGTATCAAAGCATACTCCTGACTCAGGAAATCTCAGACTGGACACTAAGGAAGGGAGAGACTGTTTATTTCAGAAGCAGAAAAGATTCAGACAGTTCAGTGTTTCTCAGATTCTGGTCTGTGGGTGGATCTCAGTAGTCTCCCACTTTCTCTCCTGAACTTTTTAATTTTGTGTTTTTGTTTTGATGATAGTC